TACTGGGTTATTTATTTTTAATTTATGTATTTGGTACAGGGTCTCACTATGCAGCTTGGAGTCCTAGTGATCCTCTTGTTTTCAGCCTCCCCAGCGCTGGGATTATAGTCATGTACCATCATGCCTGGATTCAGTGCCTGGCTCAGTGATCCCTGCACTTGCCTAAGCAGGCGCTGAGCTATCTCACCGGCCCCTGGGTTATTTATAATAGAGAAAATTTAGATATAAAGGGAGGATTTTCATTAATAGAAAATTATAACTAAAAATCTGCACAAATAAATACATTGCAATACTGCTAAAGATACATATTTATATGGAAAGATCCAAAATATAGTAATGCAGGCTAATAAATCCCACATGTACATGATCAAAACATGATATATGTATGTATGAAAGTATCACATAAAAAGAGGACAATGTTATATGGAAGCTTATTAATCTCTATAATATGCATTAATAATTATAATAAAAGGATAAATAAGGGGCCTGCCCATTAGCTGAGTTGTTTAAGCACCTGATTAAGCAAAGGGAGTCAGACTCAGGATACTGTGGTTCAATCCCCAGATCCTTGTGCCTTACCAGACCTGCCCCTAAGGCATCCTGAGCCAGCCCCCCCCCCCAAAAAAAGGATAAATAATTACAATAAAAGAACACTAAAAAGAACCCACATATATTGCAAGAATTCATTTTTGCAAAAACACATGTAGTAGAGGGCACATAGGCATGTCCAGGTATATATGGGCATTTATAGATAAAAAGTTTACACATATACAAATGTGAACATTGGTTATATTTGGATGATGAGACTGAGGACAGTGTTTAATGTCTATACATTTTTTTTTTTTTGCAGAACTGGGGATTGAACTCTGGCCCTTGCGTTTGCCAGGCAAGCGATTATTCTGCTGAGCCATCTCCCTGGCCCCTCTAATTTTTTTTTTATAATTCAAAATTAACCACCTCAAAACAACCTACTTTTGTTAAGTGGAAAAATGCTATTAAAAATGCTAACATATTTCATCAACTCAAGATTAAAACCCAAGAACTAGGGTTGGGGAGACAGCTTAGTGGCCTAAGCACCTGTGGCAAGCACAAGGTCTTGAGTTCGTTCCCCGGGACTGCAAAAAAACAAACAAGAACTAGGAGTTTAGAGATATTAACTATAGCTGATAGCTTTCTGATTTCCTAAATTCAAGGAAGATATTATTGAGTAATTATTTTTAAAAGTCTAAAATTTATTTCACTGCCTGAAAAACTTGTAAAGGTTTAACATGAAGTGTACACCCGTTAGGTCAGGAGGTTGAGGCAGATGGATCACTGCACCATGGGTTACACAGAGAAGGCCTGTTCAAATATACAGCAAGACCAACTTTCAAAAAACAAAACGGGCGGGGGGTGGGGGCG